ACCATAAGTGACGACTATGTGAATAATGTGCATAAATACAAAAGGAAGCAAGGGAAGCCTCCTGGGTTCGAGTAGATGTTGGATTCACTATGGATATGGTCGACAAGGCGGAGGAGGCCCCAAAGGGACAAGGACCGGAGGAACCAAGCTGAATATATGCAGATTCATCCTCACGCCAATCCTCGTCGATGAAGAAACTTGTGGGTCTGGTGACGTCAGGAATAAAGAACAATCGAGTCTTACGTGCAAGGGTCTCCTTATCCCACAGTCGCTCACTGGGCTGTTACAGTCAAAATGAGTTTCGGGTCTAATGTAGGACTTATGAACTCCCTGACTTGATAGTTCACTGGACGGATAGAGACTTCCGAGCTAGTTAGCCTCGGCGAGGGCCAGCTATTTCACACCTCAGTAAAGCTCGTTATCAACACTCCCTCTGTCTCTCCCCGTCCCCCCCCCCCTTCTCTCTCTCTCTCTCTCCCTTCTAGTTTATTCTACTGGCAGTAACAATACATAAAAAAGTGTTGTGTAGTAAAACATTAAGATGGATAATGTCATAGATATTGTTATACAGACAGTGAACTTCATATGCGCGCGAGGTCTGAACACAGACAGCTCAACTGCTTATTAAGAGGAAAATGAGAACACACACAGACTGCCATATCACACTGATGTTCGCTGGTTAAGTCGGGGTGTCATACTGAAGTGATTTTATGAATTGCGCAGTGAAATACAGATGTTTATGGAACAGAAAGGAAGGGATTTGCATGAACTGAAAGATAATGAATGGGTTCAAGATCTAACTTTCATGGTGGATATTACAGAACACTTAAATTTATGTGAATACAAAGATGCAAAGACGCAATAAACTGGTGACAGAGTTTTATGACTGCATTCGTGCCTTTGAGATGAAACTTCAGCTTTTTGAACGGCAACTATCAGAGGGTAATCTTTCTCACTTTCCGACCTTGAAGTCCCTGCAAGGCACACCTGAGTTTCGTGCTGATATCAAGGCAAAAAAGTACTGCATCAAGATTTCCAAATTAATGAATGACTTCCAAAAAAGATTTGCTGACTTTAAAAGACTTGAGAAGGATTTTTTCATCTTTCGGGACCCATTCTCTGTTGGTGTTAATGAGGTACCAGAACATCTTCAGTTAGAATTAATTGAGCTCCAGTGTGATTCTGTGTTGAGGAACAAGTTTTCGAGTGTTGATGTTGGCATATTTTATCAATATTTTGGACCAAATTATCCCAGGATTAAATGTTTTGCCTCAAAGATTATGTCAATGTTCGGAAGTACATATGACTGTGAACAACTCTTTTCTGTGATGAACTTGAACAAGTCACGGCTTCGGTCTCAACTTACTGATGTGCACCTTAATTCAATACTGAAGGTTGCTACAGCTCAGTCGTTAGTGCCAAACTTTGATGCACTGGTTCATACCAAGAGGTGCCAATTATCAGGGAGCAGCAGTAGCAAACAATAAGAGTGATCAAGGTAAGTGAACACTTGATTTGTTTGTTTTTAAGGGTTTCGCACGAGCGCAGACTAAATCCACCTTTCTTACTTTGTCGTACTACTCACCTAAGAGGTGATTGCGATGTGCTCATAATTATGTTACTTGGCCCGCATACTGTGTACTCATATATTAAATCTGGCCCGCCTTGGCAAATGAGTTTGACACCCCTGGTGTAGACAATGGCTACCACCAGACGGAGTTTGTTGAATTTCTTGATTTTTGCTGTACTGTACTTATTGTTTTGATGTTTTTAAGTATTTTTAAAGAATCAACAACTTTCTATTTTTTAGGACTTTTTTTTAAAGTACTCTATCCTACAATCATAAATTCCTTGTTAGTGGGCAAGGCATGAAGGATGAGGGAAATTACTGGGTAAAAACAAGACGAACACTGATGTTATGGTATTAAAATTAAGTCTCTAGGATCCATTTGTGACCCCACAAATCATTTTCATACCTTTAAAGAGTCCGGCAGCACAATTTCCCTGCTTCCGCCATTGTTCGTTGTTGTGAACCTGTATAAATTCTGTACCATTAATCCTGATCCTTTAAATAAAATAAATACGCATCTTTATTACCATAATTTTACAAAAAGTTAATACCAGTCTATTGTTCTTTTGTTTAGTTATTAAATGCAGTCAGCCTTCTTTTCATATCATCTACATAGAAACAATAAATGACGTGAGTGTGTCATATTTTTACTTTTACAGGATCTTGTACATAACAGCATAAGAACATAAGAATGGAGGAAACTGCAGCGGGCCTATTGGCCAATACTGGGCAGTCCCATTTAAACCCAACCTCTATTGCTCATGTATCCATCCAACCTATGATTGAAGCTATCCAGCGTATTAATAATGATGTTTGGTAACTTGTTCCATTCATCCACTACTCTATTTCCAAACCAATGTTTACCAATTCCGCGCCTAAATCTAAATTTGTCTAATTTAAAACCATTGTTACGAGTTCGCTCCTGGTTGGATAGTTTGAGTACTTTTGTAATGTCCCCTTTGTTTAGCCCCGACTTCCATTTATACACCTATATCATATCGCACCTCACTCTACGTCTCTGTGACTGTGGCAGTGGTGAAAACAATCATTTGTCCCTTAAGACTTGAGTACATGAAGATTTCATTAACATTAGTATGGAAGTCTCCAGGAGACTAGCCTGGTGATCTTTCAGTCATATTTAATTAATTTTATATATTGCAGACATTAATATCCCTGTTAGCCGGAATAATTGGTGCAGAGCACTTCGGGAGAATGGGAGTTTCTGCGTAACGAGACGACTCTCTCAAAACCTTAAGAAATCCCACATCCCTGAAATTTTCCGGGTAATGGAAAAATTTTCTCGGAAGTTCCTGAAATTGCCCATTACATCTCTCGAACCGGGAAAAATATCCCTCATCCCTGGAATTTTTCCGGGTGACGTAAAAATTGTCTCTGAATTTCCAGAAAATGCAAGTGATTTTCATCTCACAAGTCCGGAAAAAACTCCCCCATCCCCGGAATTTTTCGGGTATCGGGATAATTTTCTCAGAATTTTCCGGAAAATGTGCCCCTCAGAAAATCGTTTGCAAAACCTGAAAACTCCAGCTTTGGGAACGATTTTCTGAGAAAATTTAAATTCCGGCTATCGGAGAGTTCCGTGTTTGAGAGATTCCGGCTAACAGAGATATTACTGTACTATACAGTACAGTATTCAGTTTAAGTTGTCCTTGTAGTCCACCTAAAAATTTGGCTACTACCTTCTGGTAAACCTCGTATTAATGACACAAAGCTGCATCAGCTACCCCACTATAGCACAGTTTGTCATTCGCCGATGTTACCGTACGAAAATAGATTCAAGACGACATGGCAACAGCACGGCAGCAACCTCAGCACAGGACAAATATTGGGGTGTGGCCAGTATGAAACACAATTTAATACAAGCTGATCATGCTGTTATATATTATAATGACTTCATCGAACAAGAGATTTTATTTTAATTTTTTTTTTCACAGGGATTAGCCCACCCGGACACAGGTCACTGACCCACATCGGGACCTGGGGGGCGAAAATGTACCAGTAATAATAATAATAATATTATTATTATTATTATTATTATTATTATTAATGATTCATAGTAAATAAAATTTATTATAAAAAATAAAATAATAAAGTAATAATGATAACAATAATAATACTAACAAAACTGTAATAATAATGATAAAGAAAAAAACGAAAAAAAAATAGTTAGAAACGATATACTTTATGTATGTTGTGTTGTCAGTAGAAAGAGAAACAATTGAGACCCTGCAATTGTGTGTAAATGAGGCAGAAAGTCAGATCAGCAACCTGGGACTTGGTCACAATTTTCGTGATGCCATATGGCAGCAGGGTCTACCATTAGACAACACATTATGCTTCCAATACCTTCCCAGGCAGTAGTACCTCCCTGTTTGGTAGCTGCCTACTACCTATGAGGAGTGATGGATTGAAGAAGTAGAGAATACATGCAATAAGTAGCTACCATATTAATATCAATGAAGTAAAAGCACAGGAGGTGCATGATACTCTAAAGCAAGAACTGAAGCAAAAAATATGGATGGATGTATCAAAACCTATAGAAGAAAAGAATGAAGTTATATTATGATTTCATAATTGGGAATGGCAGAAAAGGAAACTCAGTACATAGTAAAGTTAGGAATTTAATAAGCAGTACTGACCTTTAATGTAAAACTCATGCTTGAACTAAAAGATAATTATATCACCACAAATAAATGAAAGATACAAAATGTGCCATGAATTGGAAAGAGGACGACAGGACAACACATATTTGCATAATTATAAACATTGATGTCTTAGAACTATCAAAAAGTGAATATAAGAAATCTTTATGATTTTATTAAGCTTAGGCAACCTCTCACTCATCCAAGGCTTAAAACTATTTCGATTAACCCTTGTATTAGTAATGTACTGTAGTACTAGCCATTCTGAGGGTACAGTAACAGATAAACAGCGCTTTGTCTGGTATCTGTGCTCTACCATGTGGTCACCCAGAAGCTCCACCCACAACTGTAACATCAATGACAAACAGTGCTATTGAGAGGTCTTATTGTTAGTAATAAGGATCTGTTACCATTATGGGAGCAGTGGTTGAGTGGATACAGCTCTAACCTCCTGTTCCAGGGGTTGATGGTTTGATTCTTGGTCACTTTCAGTTCACCCAGCAGTAAATGGGTACCTAAGTTTACGACTTGGTGAATTGAATGCGATCGAGTGCATTACCAACCATACTGCCTCCTTGTGTACTGAAGACTTAGTATACAGTGTGCCGTATCCACACTGTCCCTAATGGGCAGATTTAATTGCCATTTGGATTTTATGTGTAATACCAAGAAAAATTTTATTATTCATCTGGATCTTTATCATCTATTAAATTGATATGACTGTTCTTTACTCAAATACTGTATATTTCTTTTTCATAATTATTTTACAGAAACTTATTTTTTCGCACCATGGCCCTGTTGAAGGCGGGAGTGTTGCCAGTGTTTGTACTGGAAGGGGATGCTCCACGCCTCAAGTGGAACACCATCACTTCTCGCAACCAGAGAAATTTTCACCATTCAGCGCCTTCCAAGAATGTTTCACTCAAGACAGGAAAAAGGTCCCAATTTAAATCAATTTTGAAACAGGTAACAGTTAATCAGGTTATTTTTCTGATGTCATTAATATTAAATGTCACTTAAAATTTCTGTGTCATAATAACTTTATATTTATTTATGTACGAGGTGTGATCCAAAAGTTCCATGACTGGCTTCATAAAATCTTTATTTTTCAAGATATTACAGTGAAACTTAAGTCACCCTCAAAATATTCTTCAGAGGCCTCAGTGCAGCACTGAATCCCTTCCTCCCACTTCTGGAAGCAGATCTGGAAGTCCTCGTTGGTGAGGCTGGAGAACACCTTCTGCGATGTGTCCTGGATCTCCATTATGTCCATGATCTTCTTCCCCTTGAGGTTCAGCTTGAACTTGGGAAACAGCCAGAAGTCACAGGGGACCAGATATGGAGAGTATGGGGGGTAGGGGACCACTGGGATGCCGTGCTTCACCAGAAAATCATTCGCAGTGAGGGCAGTGTACTCAGGTGCATTGTCCTGGTGAAGGAGCCAATAGCCAGTCGTTAGTCAGAATCTGGTTAACATTTCCACATGAAACGTCCAACTGCTCGGCAATCTCACGGGTGGGCCCCTTACGCTCTTCATGGACAAGTTGGTAATTTTTCTGGACATTTTCATCACTTCTTTCAGTGGAAGGCTGCCTCAAACAAAGCTCATTTTCAAAGGAGGTGCACCCTTCTTTGAAGCGCTTGTGCCCCGTGAAAACTTGAGCCCTGGACATTGCTTCATCTTTGTTAGCTTCCTTGATCATTTCATGGGATTCTTCACCAATTTTTCCTAGTCTGAGGCAAAATCTGATGGCACAGCTTTGCTCGATACTTCCCTCCATGTTGAGGGCTGAGTGTCGACTGATGTGACGTAGCAGATGGGCCAGTACACACACTCGCACAAAGCTGCACTATGGCCGGTTGGTGACACAGATTCCCGCCAAATCGATGCAGCAAACAACTTATACCCGAGGTGAGTAACTGCTGATGATTTGACTTCGATATCTGCTAAGAGAAAGGTTTTATGAAGCCAGTCCGGGAACTTTTGGATCACACCTCATACAATATCTTGCTGATATATTCTTTACTACAATATAGTAAGGTGGACAGACCATACTCCATCTTGTGGCAATCCCTTGTGACTCATCTCTTGCTGCTCAGAATTGTCTCTCTTGTTCACCCATAACATTCCTGAACGTTCACATAATGTTGTCATCCCCCATTACTTCTCATATCCCTCATCTTGTATGTACAGTATATGGAAGTTACAAGTGAATGGGGGGTTACTATTGTACTGTATATATTATGGTGAAATGAGGAAGTGAAAGAGAGAAGGACACATACACTGAGTATCACAGCCACCAGAGAGGGACACATACACTGAGTATCACAGCCACCAGAGAAGGACACATACACTGAGTATCACAGCCACCAGAGAGGGACACACATGAGTATCACAGCCACCAGAGAGGGACACATACACTGAGTATCACAGCCACCAGAGAGGGACACACATGAGTATCACAGCCACCAGAGAGGGACACATACACTGAGTATCACAGCCACCAGAGAGGGACACACAGTATAGTATCACAGAGAGGGACACATGAGTGTCACATACACTGAGTATCACAGCCACCAGAGAGGGACACACATGAGTATCACAGCCACCAGAGAGGGACACATACACTGAGTATCACAGCCACCAGAGAGGGACACATACACTGAGTATCACAGCTACCAGAGAGGGACACACATGAGTATCACAGCCACCAGATAGGGACACATACATTGAGTATCACAGCCACCAGAGAGGGACACATACACTGAGTATCACAGCTACCAGAGAGGGACACATACATTGAGTATCACAGCCACCAGAGAGGGACACATACATTGAGTATCACAGCCACCAGAGAGGGACACATACACTGAGTATCACAGCTACCAGAGAGGGACACACATGAGTATCACAGCCACCAGATAGGGACACATACATTGAGTATCACAGCTACCAGAGAGGGACACATACATTGAACTTCACAATATATAAAAACGTCTGTCACTGCATGGATGTTTACTTTAGTACAGTGATTATATTCTGCTCCCCAGGCTTGATGGCCAGTGAGACTTTTGCCTGCATTTCCATTTTCATGCATAACTGCCCTAGAGTCTGTACTGTGTAAGGTCTACTGTCATTCATCTGACTTGCTCCAGCAGCTTATTTCTAAACCCTAACAGCTCAGTTCCATTCTCAGACCACTTCCTATGTACAGTAGTTTATATCTGCCCCAAGCTTCCTACTTTTACCTGTATTCTCATAAATCTTCATCTTGTGATTCATTATTTGTTTTTATGCATGGAACCACGCCAAGACATTTTTGCCCCATACATAATTCTCAATGTACTTTCTTTCCTGCCCCAATTAATTATTTTCTTGATAACTAGAAATAATGTATATTATGAGAGTACAGGTATGTAAAGACTTTTTTTATTCAGTGTGGTGAGCTGCTTGATCTTCTGGGTGTGCCTTGGGTACAAGCACTTGGTGAGGCAGAGGCAACGTGTGCTGCTCTCAACTACCATCAGGTATTTTCACATTAAGAATTTGTTCTATTCAGTCATAAGTGATAGAGAAGACAAATCCGTGGGGATGCTTCAGGGAGATATATGAAAAATTATATAAAGTTTTGGTAGGTCAAGATTTACTAAGTTAACTTAATTCAAAGAAAGGTTCATATAAGATGCAAGTTTGGTAGGTAAAATTTGATGAGAGAAAATAGATAGGGACATACTGTACAATTATCTAAATATAACTTTTTTTAACTCTTGGAAATCTATTCTTGCAACAGAGTAGAGTGGCTGGAACCAAAGACACGAAGAGTTCATTCAATGTCATTCGTTCTTTATATACTGCTTGTGTGTACTGTATAGTTTGCCATGTCCTACTCTCCAGTAAGGTAGATTACATATAACTTAAGCACATATACTGTACTTTAGCCATTTGGACATGACTGCATGGTTAAACAGTTCTTACACACACACACACACACACACACACACACACACACACACACACTCACTCACTCACTCACTCACTCACTCACTCACCCATGTCTTTACTGTACTCTTTAACCACCTCTCCTCAAGGTTTGCATCCCCTCACCTCCATACCACCTGACCCAAGTACCCCATATTACATCTACTGTATTGCATTAGTCAGTACTTTTATAAGTCCATTATTGTAAACTCCTTGGTTAAGAACGTTCAGGTAATGGGCAGTTCGAAGGGAATGATTGAGGCCCGCCTTTTGAAGCATTTAATATTTATTGATGTGATCAAAACCTGCAGAGAAGAAGGCGTTCATAATATTACACAGTGATCCATCTGATACATAATTAATTAGTCTCAAACAATTTTATCTTAATTACAATTTATTAAACATAGTGACATAACACAAAGTTCATAACTCTATTAATCTTAGCTTCGCTTCATTCCGCTTTGTCTTATTGCTCTAGATAGGGCAAAAACGAGTACCGGGTAGGCGTAATTAGTCAACAATATTTCAGTACCGAGGGGTATGTCATCACTTAGGCTTTACTTACAAGTGCGGGTCAATGCAAATCAGTATGGTGTTCCAAGAGACAACAGTACTGCGTAAATTGTCCCAGCACAAATTCTCGGACAGGATTGTGAGTCGGTGTTCACCAGTGTGAGCAGAAGGCTGGTCTTCACAGCATCACTAGAGAGGGCGATCTGTCTCATGGCGGGGCGGGCAGCAGCGCCACCCACTGAAGACAGTCCACTCAGCAGAACCAGGACTTGTCTATAAACTCTTGTACATCTGGCGAGGTCACAGGTCGAAAGGTTTAATGGCAACACACGCCAGCACTGTAGCTGAAGCCAGCGGCGATAACAATTGTCTTTAAATTTTTTTCACTATTTCATCAATTCTTAACTTCAAATTAAATTGGAATTCCATTTTGTCTGTTTCTCTTAGTGGTCTGCATTATACTGGCATACTGTACATTAATTATTACTCCCATTGTTTGAGGATGAATAGATAGATGTTATATGGATGGATATTCTTTATAAGAGCAACAGCAATTACTAGGTAGTAGTAAGTAGGCAGCTATCAAACAAGGAGGTACTACCGTCTAGGAAGATATTGGAAGCATAATGTGTTGACTAATGGTAGATCCTGCTGCTATATGGCATCACAAAAATTGTGACCAAGTCCCAGGTTGCTGATCTGACTTTCTGCCTCATTTACACACAATTGCAGGGCCTCATTTGTTTCTCTTACTTTGACAACACAACATACATATATCGTTTCTCACTCTTGATTTTTATTTTTATTTTTGTATTTCTTTATGATTCTTTATTATACATATATTGTTTGACTCTGGACGCCTGGTAAGGAGATTAACCTGCCTCGTCAACTCGATACAGTTTATTTGGGTCAAACCTGTCAAATACAAATAATCAATTTACAAGAGGGAAGCTGAAGGTTCAGTGACATATCATATATGAATACATTCACCTAATATTAGCACAAGTGAGTACATTATCTTAACAGTAAACACAACATAAGCTGCATATCGTCAGCAGTTACTCGACTCATATTCTTCACGTCCACAGCTAAACACAATATTTTCACACTTACGTGTTGCAGGTCTGGCTCGGACCAGACAGACTCTGGTGTGTTTAGGGCGATCAGTTGAGAGGTACTGCTGTATGTTATCGTCCAGGGGCCTGGGTGAACGTAAAGCCAACTCGGCGTACACACGCCTTGTTCCTCATTAAGACACGAGCTGACTCGCCAGCGTCTCGTCGCGTGGTACATAACAACATTAATTCTTATTACTCCCCATTACTTTCACTACTCTTATCACGCCTATGATTACCGCTGTCCACCGGTAAAATTTATAAAGCTAGACATCGCATTCTGGACACAAAAACTGTTTTTTAGAAAAAAACGGCTTTATTTTTAATTTTGTATTTTAATTACTGTACGGTGAGTTCTGCTATAACGTGTGTTTTGACAACGCGAATTGGCTCTAACGCGATTTATGAATAGAGGAACGATATTTGTATAACGCGAACGCTTGTTTGCTGTAACGCGATTTTTGCTTACTATTTCTCAAATTTTGTTGTATTAACTGTGAATATGGTAAAGAAGAAAACTGTATCTCCAAGAAGCGTTCTGGTGATCGCATTCCCGGTGATGATCGTAAAAGAAAGGCTATAACACTTGAAGAGAAGCTTGATGTTATCTACCTCAAAATCACTCTTCTCCCCCATCAAGTTATATTCATATTTTTTCAAGGTAAAGTGTTACATTTACTGTATGATTTCATTATTGGATATGAATGTCACATTTATTTAGACTGTGCTATCCTTTGTGTTAGGCTAACTACTAAATTTTTTTTTATTTCGAGTAGTAATCCGCATCAAACCCTATTTTCTCCATAAGCCCTGTTGGTATTTCTATTACGCAAATTTCTATAACACGATGTTTTACAAGAACACAACTATCGCGTTATAGCAGAACTGACTGTACTGTATAATTTTTATTTACTGTCAATAATAATAATAATTATTATTATTATTATTATTATTATTATTATTATTATTATTATTATTATTATTATTATTATTACTATTATTACTACTACTACATTTTCGCCCCCCATGCCCCGATGTGGGTCAGTGACCTGTGCCCGGGTAGTCTAATCCCCGCTAAAAAAAAAAAAAAGCCCTTCCTTTGAAAACTGATATATCAACCTTCACTGTAACACATTTTATTTATTTTTGGGTTACAGTATTTCCATGGAAGTACACAGTAAACCCTCACTATAATGGACCAATTGGGGACAAAGGTGGTAAGTTGAAGCCAAAAGTACAGTACTAAATGTAGCTGTATTTACCTTTTTGAAGTTGAATCTGCAGTTGTTTCCTGGTGATCTTGAGGTGGCCATTGCTAGGTAGCTACAATAACTCCTGAAACACTACACATGACTATGTACACTTTATACATAACATAGCACACTTTGCACATGTTCGATAGGCCCAAGTGACTCGTTAAAGCCGAAATTCTGTTTATCGAGGTTCGGTATAACTGGGGTTTACTGTACATTTCTTTTGCATGTCATGTCTTTCACTTCAGTGTTTTGTATTGAAGATCTACAAATTGACTGAGGCTGCATAATTGTTCACAGATGGTAAAGGGAGTCATTACCCAAGACAGTGACGTCTTCTTATATGGGGGTCACACAGTGTTCCGTAATTTCACTGCTAACCAGAATAAGGCAACTATGGAGAAGTTCAGGTAAACTCATATTAGTTATCTGTATGATGTGATGTGTAGGTAACTCCATTGATATGTCTTGGTTTTCCTGCTTCCATTTTTCTACTTTCATTTTGTATACAGTACTTACTAATTCAACCCTTTTCCTGTACTGCTATATTTGCTAGTACTGTACAAGCAACCTGGGCTATTTCTTTAATGGTGACACAAGCAATACTTTAATTTGTGTCAATTTATGTATATAGTGTTACTGTGAGCACTGTGCTGAGCTTCTTAAGATATGGAAGGGCCAGTAACCATACTGTTGGAGCAAGAGCCTGTTTTCTGTCCTAATTTTCAATTTATGGAGTGATATACTAGTGCCTTACCTGGTATTGATAATGTTTGTAGTATAGTACAATAAAATTCATTATACTCACAAGAATTTTATACAATTATCGGCACTACAGTAAGTGTGGAAGTAAAATTCAGTGTCTGTTGAGGAGTATGGCTTACTTATGGTTTTCCATATAATACAATACAGTCAACCCTCACTTTACGCGGTTAATGTAACCCACAGGGTACCGCGGAAAGTGAGAAACGCGTAAAGTGAATAACATAACATATGGGATTAAATGAAATAGAGACCAGCTGACCCCCAAACTCCACTTTTTCCAACACAATACCTATGTTCTAGTAAAAATAACATCTTAATTTTATGATGGTACATGCACACAATTAATACTTAAGAGAAATAGAGAAATACAGTCGCCAAGTTAATGTCCATTCAAATAATGGACACGACTCCCTCCCCCACTTCTCACACTACACTGCTGGCTCTTCCCTCTGAGAAATTTTGGGGGGAAAACCAGGTATAGTAATAAATAATACCTCAAACTAAAGTTAGGATAATATAATTGACATTGCTGGATTCCTTGTAAGACCAGGAATATTTTGAATATAAATGTCATATATTTTTCACAAAAGATAACATATTTACTCAGATTAAACATTTTATCTAAAACTTGTATGTCTAATGCAAAATCTATGATGTTTATATTCAAAATGATCACCAAATTGTAAGAATTCCAGCAATGTAAATTATATTCTGGCCGGGTAATTTGTATGAATTTTATGAGCTAAAACAAATATCTTCAGTTAATAAAAAAAAAAATATCCTTCACGACACTATCTGTCAATCAAAGTACCCCACCTTGCCTCCCCCCTCTTCCAACCGCGCGGTCAGTCCCAACCCTCCCCCCCCACCCCCCACCAATCGGCCCTTCAAGAGAAAGAGTGGGTGAAAAAAATAAATTTTAACATTTTGTATTCAATAATACCTCAGATTAAAGTTAGGATAATATAATTGACATTGCTGGATTCCTTGTAAGACCAGGAATATTTTGAATATAAACGTCATATATTTTGCACAAAAGATAACATACTCAGAGTGAACATTTTATCTAAAAATTTTATGTCTAATGCAAAATATATGATGTTTATATTCAAAATGATCATCAAATTGTAAGAATTCCAGCAATGTAAATTATATTCTGGCCGGGTAATTTGTATGAATTTTATGAGCTAAAATAAAAATCTTCAGTTAATAAAAAAAAAAATATTCTTCACACGGTAACAGATGGTCGGTCGCCGGTCCCTCCCTCCCTCCCCCCCACCCCCCACCAACGTCCCTACTAGATAAATGTGTGGGAATACCAGACTGTTTACCTTTTTAGTAATAAACAATAAATCAGACTAAAGTTAGGATAATATAATTGACATTGCTGGATTCCTTGTAAGACCAGGAATATTTTGAATATAAATATCATATATTTTGCACAAAAGATAACATATTTACTCAAGAGTAAACATTATATCTAAAATTTGTATGTCTAATGCAAAATCTATGATGTTTATATTCAAAATGATCATCAAATTGTAAGAATTCCAGCAATGTAAATTATATTTTGGCCGGATAATTTGTATGAATTTTATGAGCTAAATAAAAAAATTATACTTCACCGTGTAAAGGGGTACACCCACCGCGGAATGTGAGCATCCTGGGTTCTGGCAGGGCACCGCGTAAACGTGGAAACGCGGAATGTGGGACCGCGTAAAGTGAGGGTTGACTGTATATGTAGGAACTGATGTGTGCCACCTGGTTTGTAAATTGATTTAAGTTAAGAACATGAAACTACAGTAATCAGCTGTTTCACATGTCCAAATAATTAAGGTAACTATTTCAAGCAAAATAAAAGAGTGCAAAATTACTTATGAATCTTAAAATATTGGGACGTCTCCTTTGTTATACTTACAGTACTGTACTCTCATGACTATGTCCTCTTCCCTGAGACAGTTGTTATAATAGTATTTTAACTTAACATTATTTATTAGGTAAATTGAGTTTTTATTCGACAGCATGGATATCATAGAGGACCGCCTACAGTTGACTCGAGGAGGTTTAATAACTCTTGGCATCTTGCTTGGGTGTGACTACCTACCTAATGGTGTGCAGGGGGTTGGTAAAGACACTGCAGTGAAACTCCTGCGAGCTTGGTACAAGGCTGGCGAACGAGATCCAGTGAAAAGGTACAGCATCATATTTATGATTTGTACTTACAGGTATACCCTGTAATACAGTATAGGAGTGCTTTGATTTATGTAGAATCTTTCAAAAAAAATTTGCTAATACATGTACAAAAAAATTTTGTTCCAGCACTTCGTTATATGAATGAAAACCCTGCTTTTACAAAACAACATTTTTGTCTTTTTTGGAGCATCAGAAAATACTGAGTTGATGACACATGCACCTGAGAGCATCCTGTGCTGAACACTAAGCAGTGTCCTGTAGTACAGGCTAGTGTGTGTGGCAATGTTTCTGTGCTTATATATTAATGGAAATTAAAACATTTATATTTTAATTGGATCTATTTATATTGCTGGTGACATGTTGCCAAGTTAGACTCATCACTGTAGCCACATCTCCCTAGCCCTCTCCCTACGAGGCTGAGCTGTAAGCTATGTTATGGTTATTTTTCAACTTGTTATTTTGGGGTGATACTGTACATTATGCTTAATTTTTATTTATTTTATTTATGTGCATAAATACAAGTAAAAAAAAAACTAAGTATCTTCTGGTCATAAACATTTCTTGTGTGCACGGGAGTTAGTCTACAGATCTGGGGATGGGGGAGCGGCATGGGGATTATCTGCTGCTCGCTGTCTCGTGTCCCGTGTGTAGTGAAACAACTGCTAAATGACATGTAGTACAGTGTATTTTTTATTTTTTATTATTATTAATTTTAATTTTTCCTCACATTTACTGTTGGATGGGGTGCAATAATACCGCAAGACACTGTAAAAAAAAGTGTTCATCCTATCCTCGTCAGAAGTGTCACTATGAAAACCACGCTGAACAGCAACTGTTTACTGATTAAATAAAATCAATACCGTACTATACTGCTTTATTAATGCTTAGAAGTATTGTTTCCCACCAAACAAAATCAAATAAAATAATTAAAATTGTGTATTTTTATCTTTGGGGGATATTTTAATTTTTTAATTTTGCAGGAATGTACAGTACATATCCCTTTATATGATGGGAGTTAATGGTATATGAAAATCCTGAGAGTGTTAAGTCGCCCATCATTATCATTGAATCTTAAGATGGAGACATTCAGTTTTCCCATAACCTATGTATCTTTTTGGCTTACCTTTTTTCACTGTGGCGAGTTCACACTTAGAATAACTCATCTCTCATACCTTGCATTTAGTCTGATTCTATTATATTCTGGCACTAACCCTCATTCTATAGTATTCCATCATGTATCTCCATATTTACATCACTCAACAGCATCAGTGTACCTGTTTTTGTTCTTGATTTATCTGACATTTTTACATTTACAACCCCAGGACATGTGGGTTTGTTTCTCTCATCAAAGCTCCCAACATTTCCTTCCTTTTTGTCCACAATCAAGCTCCCCTGTCTTGTTTGCAGCTATTAATTCGTTTTGGAACATGATTACATGGTGGATAAATTAGTTTGTCTCTATGAAGTGATAAAACTAAGTATTAAGTATATTCAGACGTGTTTTAACAGTATAGACATGAATCTTATATGCATGATAATCCCTGTGTAATTTCAGGTTTGATGAGATTTGCTCTTGATAATGTACACCTTGAATGGGATGCAATTTGAGCAGTCATTGACCTTGTTTGACCTTTCAAGAATGACCAGAATATTGAAAAATCCAAGTCATTATGAGACAAACACTATCTGTCATAGTGTTTGTTGAAAAATATAAAATATTTATTCAGACCGTAATTGTGATTATTATTAATTTTCTTATTTCATTTTCTTTCAGAATGTGTTCATGGACAAACCAACATAGCACAGTGAGCTCCAGAAAATGGAAAAATGGGTATCTACCACTTTTTATCTAATGTAGCCATATATGTAATAGTAATAATATATAATTTTGTTGTACTCTGGAAAAGCTTCAACATAATTACTACAGCAATTGTTTGGTATAAGCATATTATCATCTCTTGCATCCTTTTCCATCTTTACAAGTGAGATACAGTACAGGGGCAGCAATACTAGTTGGCTGTGTTAAAAATAAGGGATGGTGAAACAGGAACTCTATTTACGAATCTTAGACAACAGTCTAAATACTCGTCAATATTGTCTCCTATATCGCCTTCATGTTAGGTCCTGTTATTGTGACCATGATAATACTAGATATGTAAATGTACGTTTTTCTTTTACAATCACAGGAATTAATGTAAAAACCAAGAAAATCAGTCAAATATTAATGTATTGTATTGTATTTCAGTATTTAGAAATCTCACACCTCAATTAAATGTCCTGTGTCCATAGTATCCTGCCTGTTGTTTGTGATTCAGGTGGACAATCCACAAGTAAACTACATAATGTGTGTCACATTTACACTAATAACAATGTACAATATACTGTATGTGTGTGCAGTACAGTATTTATTGATTTTTTTAAAGGACTTCAGCTATTATTACTTGAACGGTATTGGTAATTAAATTTTTTTTTTTTTTTTTTTGCACCCTGTACTCTACTACAGTGGGGTATGCTATAACAAATCTAATTGGTTCTAGAACCTCATTCGTTATAGCATTCGTTCGTTATAGGATTAATCCGTCCCAGGCCCCCAAATACAACCACTTAAGACTGAAAATTTTCTGTGGAAAATGTAAAAAATACGGTACTTTATCTTACCTTAGTGTTGTTCAGCATGCAGGACAGGAGGCAGAGGAGGAGGGGGGAGGAGAGAATTATGGAGAAGAGGTGGAAGGAGAGGAGTCATCCTTCCTAGCCCTCTTTGGTGACGGTCTTACAGGCACTTTGTGTGTAGGTTCGTTTGCTACTTTTTTAAAGAAGGAATCCAGGGTTGGCTGCTTCAACCTTGATTTCTGGACCTTCCAAAAGTAGCTCATCACATTGTCATTAAACATACTGATGCCCTTTTCCACAGCACCAACATCAGGATGATAATCCTCCACAAGTTTAGACAGTTTGCTCCAGCAAAAGAACACATCCTTGAGATCTTTGGTTGGAATGATGCAGCTTTCCTCCTTGTCCTCATCCTCCCCTGACTCCTCAGAAGTTAAGCTCCGCTTCAGTGTCTCATTTTCCTCTTTGTGAAGCTCAAGCAGCTCCTCAGTGGACAGTTCCTTACTGTGCTCTTCCACCAACTCCTCATCATCATCATCATCCACTTCCAGGCCCATGGAATTGCCCAGAGACACAATTTCATGTACAACAGCCTCTTCCTCTAACTCTTTGAAGCCTTCAAAGTCTCTTTGAAGCACACATTCAGGCCACAATGGCCTCCAAGCAGCACAAAGACACCTCATAGAAACCTCTTTCCAGGCTGACACAATTAAAAACACAGCACCTGCTATATTGAAGTGACTCTTCCAAAATTCCTTCAAACTAACATCACTGGAAGAAGTGGATGCAAAACATTTTCTAAACAGTGCCTTTGTGTACAGCTTCTTAAAGTTAAAAATTACCTGTTGATCCATGGGCTGGATGAGAGGTGTTGTGTTGGGTGGCAAGAAGTGCACAGTGATGAAGTTGAACTCCTCTGGCAATTCAACCATCAAATTAGGAGGGTGGGCTGGTGCATTGTCCATCACCAATAGAGCTTTCAGTGGAAGATTATTCTCCCTGAGGTATTCCCGAACACTGGGTCCAAACACCTCAGTCACCCACTCAGAGAAAAGACTCCTGGTCACCCAAGCCTTTGGGTTTGACCGCCACATAACACCAAGGCGGTTCTTCCTAATGTTTTTGAAAGCTCTGGGGTTTTCTACATGGTACACAAGGAGTGGTTTTATCTTGCAGTCACCAGAAGCATTAGCACAAAGAAGGAGGGTAAGCCTGTCTTTCATCGGCTTATGGCCAGGGACAGAAGTTTCCTCCCTTGTAATGTATGTACGGCGAGGCATTTTTTTCCAAAAAGTCCAGTTTCATCACAGTTGAATACCTGCTGAGAAACAAAGCCTCCCTCTTTAATCACATTAAAAAAAATGTCATGGTGTTCCTTAGCTGCTTCCTTATCTGCACTAGCAGCATCACCATGTCTCACAACACTGTGTAATTTATTTCTTCTTCTGAAACCAGTAAACCACCCCTTGGTACCCCTAAACACTGGCACAGCACTATCACTTGCACTGGGAGTCTTGGCTTTAAGGTCCTCAAACAATTGTCTGGCCTTCTCACAAATTATAGCTTCACTAATGCTATCACCTGCCATTTCTTTCTCCTTTATCCACACTAAGAGTAAATTTTCCATCTCCTCAATCACATTACACCTTGCTTTGCTAAGTCTAGAGATTCCCTTAGCCACTTGCACAGTTTTTAACTCCTCTTTATTCTTCAAAATCGTACATATAGTCGATTTAGCCATCCCATATTCATCACTAAGTTTCACAATGCTTGTTCCATTCTCACTTTTCTTTATGATTTCTTTCTTAGTTTCAAGGGTTATGAGCTTTCTCACTCGCTTTGGATGATTCATTTTTACAATTGTACACTTGTATAACAAAACAGTTATACAAATAACACGTATTTCAACATCAAAAGACGAAATTTCAACAATAACAGTGGTGCACTGGCTACACAATGAGACAAAGATGGCACCTGATGCTCTTGTTGTGAGTCGCGGTACAACAATATTCATGCGCCAGACGAAATAGTCCCGTATTCATCCGCGTTCGTTGTAGAAGTTGCTTTCGTTATAGCATTCTCAATTTTATAGGTAAAGCCGTTCGTTATAGGAATATTCGTAGTAGAACCCGTTTGTTATAGCATACCCCACTGTATATATATGAGACTTACTATAGTAATATTCCCGTTAGCAAGAACAATTGGTGCAGAATGTTTCCGTGTTCGAAAGATTTTCTTGTATTAAGATAAAATCTCATCCCTGAGAAAAATCGCACATTTATGGAATTTTTCCAGGCATTGGTGAATGTTTCCGAATCTAAGCTACATTTCTGACATGGAGCACTGTTGTTACCGAGGCTTAACTGTAACATTTCCTCATCTTGAACTGGAAAATACATACGCTTATTGTATTTCTATGTTCTCAAAATTTACATATTGAGTGGACAAAATACTTCTCCACACCTGAAACAATATTGACTGCTTTTCACCTTCCAATGGGCTCCTAATACAGTATAGGTATTTGATCTGGATTGTCATGCAGGCATTTTTCAAATTTACCTTGTTTCCAAGCTCATACACTTAATGGGGGAATTGGGATTATCACACAGTATAGTACAGTATATATGGTCACAGGCTTAATACACTAACTATAATATGGGTGTCCATTCACTTTTGGTATTATCCTGAACCTCTTGTTTACTAATAGGAGCACTGAGGAACTTGAAGCAGGAGTGAGAGAGAGGCTGCTAGCAACAGATGGGTTCCCTTTCACAGAGATCCTTCAGGAATTTCAGCACAAGCTCAGTCGCCCCACTACAAAGATTAATTGGGCTCAGCCACGTTATGAGGATCTTGTGGTGAGTTTACAGGAAAGTGAAGTCGAAGTTTTATATTCATATGATGTGTAGTTTTTAAAATAGCAGTACAGTAGGGTCGCAGAGTATGCGTATCTTTAGTATGTGACCCTGCTTATATGCGTCTGACCCCCTGAATCACCCTTATGATTAGGATAATGAGAATTTCATTCCCTGATTGAGTTGCTTTACTGCCCATTTAGGAAACAATGACAGTGCTTGACACCTTGAAAAGATCTTGGTGTTGACTGGATGAGATTCCACACAATAGTTTTGTTATTCACATGAATAATGTGTCCTGGTACTGAACATTTGTACTTTACAACTCTGGTAGGCTCTGTCATGGCATGATCAGTATGCTGAGATCCAGTCCTCTTGTGTTATGTATGGTTTATGGGCCCCTTGTGTTATGTATGGTTTATGGGCCCCTTGTGTTATGTATGGTTTATGGGCCCCTTGTGTTATGTATGGTTTATGGGCCCTTGTGTTATGTATGGTTTATGGGCCCTTTGTGTTATGTATGGTTTATGGGCCCTTGTGTTATGTATGGTTTAGGCCCCTTGTGTTATGTATGGTTTATGGGCCCTTGTGTTAGTGTGGGGTTGGCTGTGTTGGTTTAGCTTTGTGTTAGTATGGTTTGGGCCCCTTGTGTGTGGTTTATGGACCCTTTGTGTTATGTATGGTTTGGGGCCCCCTTTGTGTTATGTATGGTTTAAGGCCCCTTTGTGTTATGTATGGTTTATGGACCCCTTGTGTTATGTATGGTTTCATTCCTCAGGCGTATGGTTTATGGACCCTTTTGTGTTATGTATGGTTTGTGCCCTTGTGTTATGTATGGTTTATGGGCCCTTAAGGTGTATGGTTTATGGGCCCTTTGTGTTATGTATGGTTTGAGGGCTCTTGTGTTATGTATGGTTTAAGGACCCCTTGTGTTATTTCGGTTTATGGGCCTTGTGTTATGTATGGTTTATGGACCCTTTGTTATGTATGGTTTGTGGCCCTGTGTTAGTGGGTATTTTAGGCCCCTGTTATGTATGGTTTATGGGCCCTTGTGTTATGTGTTGGTTTATGCCCTTGTAAGTGTATGGTTTATGGACCCTTTGTGTTATGTAGGGGTTTATGGGCCTCTTGTGTTATGTGTATGGTTTATGGGGCCCTTGTGTTATGTATGGTTTGAGGCCCTTTTGTGTTATGTATGGTTTATGGGCCCCTTGTGTTATGTATGGTTTATGGACCCCTTTGTGTTATGTGTATGGTTTATGGGCCCCTTGTGTTAGTGTGTATGGTTTATGGGCCCCTTGTGTTATGTATGGTTTATGGCCCCTTTGTGTTATGTATGGTTTATGGCCCCTTTGTGTTATGTGATGGTTTGGCGGGCCTTGTGTTATGTATGGTTTGTGGCCCCTTTGTGTTATGTATGGTTTATGGACCCCTTTGTGTTATGTATGGTTTATGGGCCCCTGTTATGTGTGGTTTATGGGCCCCTTGTGTTATGTATGGTTTATGGACCCCTTGTGTTATGTAGGGGTTTATGGGCCTCTGTGTTATGTGGCGGTTTATGGGCCCCTTGTTATGTATGGTTTATGGGCCCCTGTGTTATGTATGGTTTATGGGCCCTTGTGTTATGTGGTTTATGGGCCTCTGTGTTATGTATGGTTTGTGGGCCCCTGTGTTATGTATGGTTTGTGGGCCCTTGTGTTATGTATGGTTTATGGGCCCCTTGTGTTATGTATGGTTTATGGGCCCTTTGTGTTATGTATGGTTTATGGGCCCCTTTGTGTTATGTATGGTTTATGGGCCCCTGTGTTATGTGTCGGTTTATGGGCCCCTTGTGTTATGTATGGTTTATGGCCCCTTGTGGTATGATGGGGCCCCTTTGTGTTATGTATGGTTTATGGGCCCCTTTATGTATGGTTTATGGGCCCTTTGGTTATGTATGGTTTATGGACCCTTGTGTTATGTATGGTTTATGGGCCCCGTGTTATGTATGGTTTATGGGCCCCTTTGTGTTATGTGATGGTTTATGGGCCCCTTGGTAGTGTATGGTTTATGGCCCTTGTGTTATGTGTGCGGTTTATGGGCCCTTTGTGTTATGTATGGTTTATGGGCCCCTTTGTGTTATGTGGCGGTTTATGGGCCCCTTTGTGTTATGTATGGTTTATGGGCCCCTTGTATGTATGGTTTATGGGCCCTTTGTGTTATGGGCGGTTTAGGCCCCTTGTGTTATGTATGGTTTATGGCCCCTTGTGTTATGTATGGGGTTTATGGGCCCCTTGGTTATGTGGCGTTTGCGGCCCTTTGTGTTTTGTGGCGGTTTATGGACCCTTTTGTTATGTATGGTTTATGGACCCTGTGTTATGTATGGTTTGCGGCCCTGTGTTATGTATGGTTTATGGGCCCCTTTGTGTTATGTGTGGTTTATGGACCCTTTGTGTTATGTATGGTTTATGGACCCTTTGTGTTATGTATGGGTTTATGGGCCCTTGTGTTATGTATGGTTTATGGGCCCCTGTGTTATGTATGGTTTGCGGCCCCCTGTGTTATGTGATGGTTTATGGGCCCCTGTTATGTATGGTTTATGGGCCCCTTTGTGTTATGTATGGTTTATGGACCCCTTTGTGTTATGTATGGTTTGTGGCCCCTGTGTTATGTATGGTTTAGGACCCTTTGTGTTGTGTGTATGGTTTATGGCCCTTTGTGTTATGTGTGGGGTTTATGGACCCTTTGTGTTATGTGTATGGTTTATGGGCCCTTTGTGTTATGTATGGTTTATGGGCCTTGTGTTATGTATGGTTGGCGGACCCCTTTGTGTTATGTATGGTTTATGGCCCCTTTGTGTTATGTATGGTTTATGGGCCCCTTGTGTTATGTATGGTTTATGGGCCCCTTTGTGTTATGTATGGTTTATGGCCTTGTGTTATGTATGGTTTATGGGCCCCTTGTGTTATGTATGGTTTATGGGCCCTTTGTGTTATGTATGGTTTATGGGCCCTTGTGTGTATGGTTTATGGACCCTCTTGTGTTATGTATGGTTTATGGGCCCCTTTGTGTTATGTATGGTTTATGGCCCCTGTGTTATGTATGGTTTATGGGCCCCTTGTGTTATGTATGGTTTATGGGCCCCTTGTGTTATGTATGGTTTATGGGCCCCTGTGTTATGTATGGTTTATGGGCCCCTTTGTGTTATGTGGCGGTTTATGGGCCTTTGTGTTATGTATGGTTTATGGGCCCCTGTGTTATGTGTAGGGGTTTATGGGCCCTTTGTGTTATGTATGGCGTTTATGGGCCCTTGTGTTATGTATGGTTTATGGGCCTCTTGTGTTATGTATGGTTTGTGGACCCCTTGTGTTTTGTGGCGTGAGGGCCCCTTTGTGTTATGTATGGTTTATGGGCCCTTTGTGTTATGTATGGTTTATGGGCCCCTTTGTGTTATGTATGGTTTATGGACTTCTTGGTTATGTATGGTTTATGGGCCCTTTGTGTTATGTATGGTTTATGGGCCCCTTGTGTTATGTATGGTTTATGGTCCCCTTTGTGTTATGTATGGTTTATGACCCCTTTGTGTTATGTATGGTTTATGGGCCCTGTGTTATGTATGGGTTTATGGCCCTGTGTTATGTCTGGTTTATGGGCCCCTTTGTGTTATGTATGGTTTAGACCCCTTGTGTTATGTGGCGGTTTATGGGCCCTTGTGTTATGTATGGTTTGTGGCCCCTTTGTGTTATGTATGGTTTATGGCCCTTGTGTTATGTATGGTTTATGGCCCCTTGTTATGTAGTGGTTTGTGGGGCCCCTTTGTGTTATGTATGGTTTATGGGCCCCTTGTGTTATGTATGGGTTTGTGGGCCCTTGTGTTATGTATGGTTTATGGGCCCTTTGTGTTATGTGTATGGTTTAAGGGCCCTTGTGTTAGTGTATGGTTTATGGACCCCTTGTGTTATGTATGGTTTATGGGCCCCTTGTGTTATGTATGGTTTATGGACCCTTTGTGTTATGTGTATGGTTTATGGACCCTTGTGTTATGTATGGTTTATGGACCCCTTGTGTTATGTATGGTTTATGGACCCCTTGTTATGTATGGTTTATGGGCCCCTTGTGTTATGTATGGTTTATGGACCCTTGTGTTATGTATGGTTTATGGCCCCTTGTGTTATGTATGGTTTGTGGGCCCCTTGTGTTATGTGTATGGTTTATGGGCCCTTGTGTTATGTATGGTTTATGGGCCCTGTGTTATGTATGGTTTATGGGGCCCCTTGTGTTATGTATGGTTTATGGACCCCTGTTATGTATGGTTTATGGGCCCCTTTGTGTTATGTGGCGGTTTATGGGCCCTTTGTGTGTTATGTATGGTTTATGGGCCCCCTTGTTATGTATGGTTTATGGGCCCCTGTGTTATGTGTATGGTTTATGGGCCCTTTGTGTTATGTGTGGTATGGTTTAGGGCCCCTTTGTGTTATGTATGGTTTATGGGCCCCGTGTTATGTTATGGTTTAGGCCCCTGTGTTATGTATGGTTTATGGCCCTTGTTATGTGTATGGTTTATGGACCCCTTGTGTTATGTATGGTTTATGGGCCCTTGTGTTATGTATGGTTTATGGTCCCCTTTGTGTTATGTATGGTTTATGGACCCTTTGTGTTATGTATGGTTTATGGCCCCTTGTGTTATGTATGGTTTATGGGCCCCTGTGTTATGTATGGTTTATGGGCCCTTTGTGTTATGTATGGTTTATGGACCCCTTGTGTTATGTGTATGGTTTATGGGACCCTTGTGTTATGTATGGTTTATGGGCCCTTGTGTTATGTATGGTTTATGGGCCCCTTTGTGTTATGTATGGTTTATGGGCCCCTTTGTGTTATGTATGGTTTATGGGCCCCTTTGTGTATGTATGGTTTATGGGCCCTTGTGTTATGTATGGTTTGTGGCCCCTTTGTGTTATGTATGGTTTGTGGCCCTTGTGTTATGGGCGGTTTATGGGCCCTTGTGTTATGTATGGTTTATGGGCCCTTGTGTTATGTGGCGGTTTATGGGCCCCCTGTTATGGTTTATGGGCCCCTTGTGTTATGTATGGTTTATGGACCCCTTGTGTTATGTATGGTTTATGGGCCCCTTGTGTTATGTATGGTTTATGGGCCCTTTGTTATGTGTATGGTTTATGGGCCCCTTTGTGTTATGTATGGTTTATGGGCCCCTTGTTTGTATGGTTTATGACCCTTGTGTTATGTATGGTTATGGGCCCTTGTGTTATGTATGGTTTATGGCCCTTGTGTTATGTATGGTTTATGGGCCCCTTGTGTTATGTATGGTTTATGGGCCCTTGTGTTATGTATGGTTTAGGCCCCTTGTGTTATGTCTGGTTTATGGGCCCCTGTGTTATGTTGGTTTATGGGCCTTGTGTTATGGGTGGTTTATGGGCCCTTGTGTTATGTCTGGTTTATGGCCCTTGTGTATTGTGTGGTTTTGGGCCTTGGTTATGTATGGTTTATGGCCCTTTGTGTTATGTATGGTTTATGGGCCCCTGTGTTATGGCGGTTTATGGGCCTTGTGTTATGTATGGTTTATGGGCCCTTGTGTTATGTATGGTTTATGGGCCCTTGTGTTATGTATGGTTTAGGCCCTGTGTTATGTATGGTTTATGGGCCCTGTGTTATGTATGGTTTATGGCCCTTTGTGTTATGTATGGTTTATGGGCCCCTTGTGTTATGTATGGGTTTATGGGCCCCTTTGTGTTATGTAGGTGGTTTATGGGCCCCTTGTGTTATGTATGGTTTATGGACCCCTTGTGTTATGTATGGTTTATGGGCCTCTTTGTGTTATGTATGGTTTAGGCCCTTGTGTTATGTATGGTTTATGCCTGTGTTATGTATGGTTTATGGACCCTTGTGTTATGGGGTTTATGGCCCTTGTGTTATGTATGGTTGTGGCCTTGTGTTATGTCTGGTTTATGGGCCCTTTGTGTTATGTATGGTTTATGGGCCCCTTGTGTTATGTCTGGTTTATGGGCCCCCTGTGTTATGTCTGGTTTAGGGCCTTGTGTTATGTATGGTTTGAGGCCTCAAATCTCAGTTACCCTTCCCTTCTTCCTCTGTCCACAGTATTTTCAATGTTTTCTCCATGAAATATGGTATAATTTAATTAAATTGTACAAGTCTCCCAGGCCCTGCTGAGATGTCGGTGGTCACTCATATTTCAAGTTTTCATTTTGTACTTTTTGAAAATTTAATAACTAGTAGTGTATTGTGAAATCCTCTGAAGGAAAAAGTATATTTCAGAAATGGTGTATCTGTATGCTGGACTGGGAACCTTTGTATGCTGTAGAAAAGATCTCACCAGTTGTTACTAGATGGATTGTAACCCATGGCACAGGGCTGAGGTGTATACAGGTATGGATTGGTTTTCTAAGTTGGCACATCTGTGAATGTTTTTTAAACCAACTGACCCTTTGAGAGAAGTTTACCCCCACTCATGTGCTCCATCTAAGCCTCTGACTAACCCAACCATAAATGAAGCCACAGCCAGTTGCTAGGACACCTTCATATTTAATATTATTTGGCTTTTATAAAGAAGTGGTTCCTTTGGTTTCAATATAGGGACTATTAGTGTGTCTGCTATTAATTTATTTCATGAATTACAAGTTTTAATACAAACCCACCACATAGTGAAATATTTAGATGCAGTCCAGTACATTACACTACATATTGGTAACTGGAGTATCTTGTTTGTTTTAGGCATTTAGAGTACTGCTACAGCAGCAGTGAGCTTGTGAAAGGTACACATCAATAATCTCTACAGTATATTCATTCCATAGGAAATTAAAACTTTACAAAAATTTATTCTCAATTATTTAGATATGTCTGGTAATTGTAATTTCATTTTACCTGTATGTATATGTGTTGACTTTTTACTCTGCCAGGACAAGTACCGTAGTCCCAATGAATGCAATTCGTAAACAGCGGGAAAATGTTTCTTAATTGTAACCAATGCAAACACATGCAACCATGGGAAATGGTCGTAAAACGATGATGAGGATGATGAATTGATAAGTGACGAATATTATGACAAAATGGGTCCATTCCTAACATGATTCAACCTAACCTAACCATTAGGATCAGAACTCATTTTCTTCTGGTCACAAACTAACCTAAAACAATCTAACCATTAGTATTACTATGTCCTATTGATCAAGTTAGATTAGGTTAACCTATTATTTGGTCTAATAAGACTGGGGTACAACTAATCTGCACCCAGCTCCCACCATCATCAAAGTTCTATAGCCATTTTCCATGCACGTGTGAGTTAGCTGTGATTACTTGATGGCACTTCTCCATGCTGTGCAGTCTTTTGCAGCTTCTCTCATCAGATTCTTAACTCTAATGTAATTTTTTACAATCTCTCTCTATGTCATTCTTAGCCTACCCAAACTCTCCTCTCCACATTTAAACTCGTTACCCAGTTGGTCTCCTCCACATGCCCAAATCATCTCAACCTACCTCTGCACAGGGTTTCACTAATACTGTACTCTCAATTCCCAGCCACCCTCTAAGCTCTGAACAGGGTTTCCTCTCTTTCAATGTCACATTGCACATCCACCTCACCATGCTCATTACAAATTACTCAACCCTGCATATGTCATCCTCTTTAACTGCCATGTTTCACTGCCACAGATCATCACACTTTTCATGCCAGTTGCATTATATCTTTCCTTTCACAAGAGGGGAAGGTCCTCTTAGCATCAATAAAGGCAGCAACTCCCTGAACTTCCTCCAGCCACTTCTGACTCTTACAACTGAGCTAGCTTCAGCACCATCTCTAGCATTGATCACAGCACCCAGGTAGCAGGACTCTTCAACACAATCCAAGGATATATCCCCAATGTTGAGTTTCAACAGCTTCGCTAAGGCCACATGATTACCTGTGCATGCAGGACATTTAAAGTCAACAACTTCCTTTAGTTTGCCATCTACTCCACTGCACCTCTTGTGTACCCACCTTCCATACTTACACCTTTGAATGTGGATGTTGCTCTATTTGTTGCAGATGAAACATGGACAGACATATTCACTTTTAGCTTAATTAAGTATGTGGATCTCACCACTTCAAGGGTAAAATCAACATACAGTGCACTTCCTCATTTGACCCAGACTACTAAACCCACATACATACTAAACATACTGTATGTTGGGTTAGATCATGGATACAATAAAAAAAAGTTGAAAGGAAAAAATTAATAATAGATTTATTGAAAGATTTTATGTTAAACATGTCGTTTATTAAAAATCTCTTGTTCCATTATACTGTACTACATAGCCGATCGGCATTGTGAAACGCTGTGTCCGGCGTGGTGTAGCAGCATGTGAGGTTCAGTGGAGAGTTGTCAGTTGTGATCTTCCCAAAGGAACTCCAGAACACCTCACTACTGATGAACCTCTGCATCTCATTCAAGAATCATTATCAATGCTTGTGCAAGAGTTTGAAGAAAAGACCAAATCAAAGAAACAAGGTACAGTATATATACTGCACTGTATACAGTGGTCCCTCGATTAACGAACACAGTTGGTTCCACAGAGTTGTTTGTTAACCGAAAATTTCGTTAACTGAATCTATTATTTCAATGGGATATTGGGTAATTGGTTCCAATTCACAGAAAAAGTACAGGTTGACAACCCTTTATCCGAAATTCTGAAAACCGAAAGTTTTTTTAAGAAAAGTTATGATTAGCCCACCCGGCATAAATCACTGACCCACATCGGGCCTGGTGGGCGAAAATGTAATGGTAATAATAATTATAATAATAATTATTCATAGAAAATAAAAATTTTAATTAAAATACTGTACACCAAAATAAAATAATAATGATAACAATAATAATAATAATAATAGTAATAATAAAATATAATAATAAAATTAATAACAATAATAATGTAATAAAATAATAATAAAGAAATACAAGAATGAAAAAGATCTAAAGTGAGAGCTGCACTCTAGACCTATGAATTATTATTACCTGTACATTATTATTATTATTATTATTATTATTATAATATTTTTGCCCCCAATCCCAGGCCCTGATGTGGGTCAGTGATCTATGCCCAGGTGGGCTTTAAAAAATAAAAATAAAAAATATACATTCTGAAAACCGAAAATTCCGAAATCCAAATGCTTCTATTTTAGGTTTAGGTGATTGTCAACCTGTACATACAAAGTACTGTATACCTTAATAGAATTAACAAAACATTAAATATTAACTAAATACAGTACTGTACTGTTACGATGATGACATGCTATATTCTTTGCAGAGTGCATTGGTTCTAATGCCTTCTTCATGTTTCATTATAATTTCTGCACTGTATATTATCAATATGTGAACTAAATTTCAGAATGACCAATAATTTTCACGTAAAAATGCAAAAATATTCAAGAGACCAACAAACTGGATGTTCACTCCACTGTAAACAAAGTTAAACTGGGTGATTTGATCAGCTTAGGGCACACAAAAACTGTTCCCTGTACTGTATATATCATCAATATGTTAACTAAATTAGAATGACCAATAATTTTAATATAAAAAATGCAAAAATATTGAAGAGCACAACTTTCTTGATATTTACTCCACTGGAAACGAATGTAAACATAGAACAGATTACCCTGTACTGTACTGTATTGGTGGACTGTTCGATCACCTGATGCGCACAACAAAGCGTGTTCTCGTAAGGCTGTTGGTTAATGGGGTTGTATTCGTTAGTGGAATTGAAAATCCTTATGAGAGCTAATTCGTTAATTGGTCCGTTCGTTAATCGAGGGACCATTGTATATACTTATTAGAACTATCTTTTTCTTATATATCAAGACTCAGATTTTTCAGAGTAGAATCTATGCATTGTGAATTGTCTTCAGTTTTTTTATACAGTACTGCAATTTATCTTTCCAGAATACAGTACTGAGTACTGTAATAATTTGTCATATTTTGCTGTGTATAAAATTTTCATAAACATTTTTATTTTTTGTGGCTGTATTATTCAAAGTTTAATCTTTCTTTTCTTCCTCTAAGGTAAAAATAAAAAGAAGAGCAAGGATAATATCAAGAAACTGACTAAGGATGACCCTGTGAAATTAGTTAAGGATGACACCAGGAAATCAGTCAAGGATGACCCTGTGAGATTGACTAATGATGACCCTAGAAAAATTAATCTTAAGGATAACCTTAGGAAATTGAATCTGGATATGAATAATAGCAGCAGCAGCAGCAGTGTCATGGACGGAAATGATAAATGTTATGACTTTGTAATGAAAAGTAAGCACAGTCTTTCAAACCATTGCAGCATACAAGTAAATAGTTCTGAGGAGTTTGTTGCTGACAGGAATCATGTAACTAAAGAAAAAAATAACATAACTCTGACTGATGATGAAAGAGAGGAGAAGCTTGAAGATGCAGACTTATCATTGATCATTGACAGAATCATAAACATCAAAATGAGCAGTCACTTTCCTGAATGTGGAAGTGTTAACAGACAAGGTGCTGAATATATAAATGAAAAACAGAAAAAAAATCAGAACAGCTGTAACTCAGACCAGAAGGCAATGACACAGTGTGAAGGCCACTATTCAAGATACAACTTAGGTGAAGAAAAGGTCGATATAAAGAACATAAGTTGGCAGAAATTCAATGATTCGGGAAAAAGAGATAAAACTCAAAGAATAATCGACAGTACAATTGATTTTAAATTAGATGATAAAGAAAATCAACCAGAAAGTCTCTTTGACAGAGTATCTAAACGGCTAAATAAAAGACACAGGAAAAAGGGGCATGTTTGACCAGCCCTTGCAATCAACCCCATATGTCTGTCAAGTTAAACAGGGATTTAAATCTTAATCCTGGCAGTTTTGATGGAAGGCAGAAATATAAAAATGTTTCACACAAAGATGCACAGAGCTCCAAAAAAAGCATTAGCAGTGGTAAAGTCGAAGAAGATATTGAAACACCAATTGAAAGAAACACGTCTTCTCAACTTGCATTTCCTTCTAAAGTATTGATGCAAATGGAATTTTTTTGTGAAAATAACAAAGAAAATGCATCAAAAAATTCTGCTGAATCAATTTTAAGCTCATCCCATGATTTGTTCAGCCCAAGATCTGAGACCATTGAAAGCAGCAGTCAAGTATCAAGAGACATTTTTAATATCACAGATGACTGTCTTCCCACACCTCCCTGTTCATCTTCACCCAAACAGCATTCTACTCCATATCTAACAACTGAGAGAGCTGTAGTTAAAAGGAGTAATACAGATATAAAACTTAAATCAACTCTTCTAAGTCCAAATGCACAAATAGTTGAAATGGATGGAAAAAATAAGTTATCTCTCTTAACTGCAATTTCTCCTTTGTCCAAAAATTTGCAGGATAGCTCCAAGAAACCACTACCTGATAGCAGTTCGTCTGTCCACACATTTTCCAAAGTGAGTGAAATGTTTGTGAATGATTCTGTTCTAAGATTCAACAAGAGTATCATATCCCAGGGAAGTTCCATTGTAAAAGAAAACATTATTGTTTCTTCTTCTAAAAATTATAATTTATCTGCTATTTTGAGCACTCCAAGAGCCCCTAAGAAATGGAATATGGAAAGTGTGTGTTTCAAACTCATAGATAGTTTTAATGACTGTGAAGGTTGTGTATCATATGATGCTACAACATCTAGATCATCTCCGTTGAGTGTTATGTCTACCAAAGAATTACAGCAGGCCTCATTTACAAAGAAAATATCTTGTGCCTATAATGAGGAGGAAAGAAGTAGCCTTGATAAAAAAGATAATTATAATAACATGTCACCCATAGTAACAGAAAACAGGCTTAAAAATGCTAGGGATGAAGTGAAAAACAATGAATGTAAAATCCTGGAGGAAAATATTGCATTTGGAAATGAAGAAAGCAATGATAGAACAAGTTCTTCCCCAAGAACAGCCAATAATGCACTGACTTATGACCCCTTTTCTCCATTTGGGGTTGGCTTAACATTAGCTGAAAGACTCAAAATAAAATGTCCTAATAAGAATTTTGCTAAGCTCTTTGATGGTATCTGATACAAATTTATATACCTGTACTGTAGAAATGTAATTACAGTTCTCAAAAAAAAAATAATAAATAAATAAAAAATCCTGTATACGGTGCTGTACAGGTGCTGGACAGTAGACCCTCACCATCCATAGAGTGGGTATCCACAGTTTTTACTCTGTATGTCATTTCACCAACCACTGCATTTAATTTAATGTATCCACAGATTAGTGTGGTGTCTTTATCCCCCCACAGTCTAATGAATTCCTCCGTTAATGTGAAGAATGAATAAAAATAATATTGATAAATAATAAAATAAAAAATAAATACTGCAGTTGTTTTGCAATTGTTTACCTAAGTGTGTAACAGAGAGCCAGTACTTGCCAACAGTGCATAACAGAGATGTGACAAACAGCCCAAAAGGCTATCGGACCATTCAGTCGTGGCATAGAGGATATAAGTAAATTCAGGGGTGGTGCCAGAACTGGTTTGAGAATGTATCTGTAATAGTTTTTGATTAAAGTCTGGTCTTGAATGAGCTCACCTCTAGTGGAGTGTTCAGCAGTTCAGCTCCTCCAGAAAAGTTTTTCCTCGTAGTTTTCCACCAGATTTGTGGCTTGGTGCTCTTTGGCTGTAACTCAACCTTTACCTCTATAATTTAAACTTCACTCATATTTCTCACCTGTAACATTTTATGCAATTTCTTTATTTATTTTTTATGCTTTTATTATACATATTAACGTTACATCAGTTTTATCTCGTATTCAATGGGATTAAAAACATTAACCTAAATACTGTAATAAGACTACTGAGTAATTAACACTATTTGTGATTATATTCCTTTCTATTGTGAGTGTACTTTTAATGCTTATTGATTTGTGTGAGTGTTTTTGCATGTGTCGTGTCTGTTTGTATATATTGTATACTGTACAAAAACCATATTGTATAAACAGTATTGTGGATATAAATAAAACTATTGGTACTGTATATAGTCTTACTTCGTTTTATTTTATGAAAAAAAAATATCCTAAAATATCTGACTAAACATACATTTGTTCAAGTAAATATTAGTTAATTATTTCTTAAAATTACAGCATTGCAGAATGAAGTGTAAAAATTCCATAGGCTTTTCTAATCTGGGCTAGTCACAAGTACAAAAACTGAAGGATTGCATCAGTCAAATTGCTTTACTTATGTTTAATTACAGGACAGGAATGCATATCAGTATCTATCTTCCGTGGTCCGTAGTGGACAGGTACTGTTTTGAGCAACAGGATGTTTAATGCGTCAGGTGAAATAAACTTGGGTGTCCCAATCTTCAGGTAGCAATAAGATAATGGATTAATTGATGAGGTAATATTAGTGTAACTTTTGTCTTAACAGGAATTGTTTTCTCTCTTGTGTTCTGGTGTGGTTAGTTGCAATACCCACTAAAAGAATGTCGAGTGAATTTTTCTGTTTCTACTTTAACAATTTGAAGCGTAAGCGAAATGCTTTGATATGAACTGATCCCACATCACCAATAGTTAGAGATAGGGAGTAGGATTGGGGGTTCAGGATATCATTGTATAATACAAAAATACTTCAATATAACAAGAAATCCGTTTAAGCTATACAGGTGCTCCTCTACTTACGAGCGAGTTATGTTCCTGAGGCTTGTTTGTCAAGTCCAACTTTACTCTTGTAGATACCAAAAATATTGTAAAAAATAGAAAGATTATGGATATTTAGTACAGCTATATCCTTTAATACAGCTTGTAAAACCTGGCTCGCACTCTTCTCTTGGGCAATGTTTGTTCTATCTGGAATTTTTCTTCAAAATAATCCAGTCTCATCCACATTAAACACCTGTTCTGGCAGATAACCCCCTCAGTGATGATGTTTGTATCTCTGAAAGTTTGTAAGTTGAGGCAGTTCTGAAATGAAAGGCTTACCTGTACAATATTAATGTAGGTATCGTTCTGGGTGAAGCGAGGCATATGTAAACAAGCACGCTGACTGATGGTACAAATAACACTAAAAATTTACATTAAATGCAAACGTTTCCAGGAACATCATAACTGAAGACAGACCTCGAAATGAATTTTTCACCATTACATCGTTGTACTAACGGAATATCATTCTTACCGAGTTTCACAACAGCACCTATTCATATTAATTTGCGAAATGTTTGATTTATGAAGTGACTAGCAAATATCATTTCATATTAGAGTGAACAGCTACAGCAATATACAATATATCCATCTTCGTGGGATCTGTCATGTTAATGAAATGTAAAATTGCATTGGTTTAACACTGAATTGGGTTTTTTTCAAATCAAGGGACTTGCAGGCAACAGAGCACCACCCCCATCCATCTATAATAAGACATTTATGGTTTAAGTTTCGGTGTGGTACCAGTTGTTTCCACGGCTCCTAATCGTAGTGCTATCTCCGGTATTCGTATACCTCGTTGTGTAGGGCAGTGATAGCACCTCTAACGCATCTTACGTTAATGTCCTCCAATAATTCCTCACTTCATTCACTCCCTTATATGCTGCAAAATCTCTAGGGACTAAGGGAATTCTCATTATTTAAAATGACAAATAAAGTAAAATTGTATTGTTATCAATAGTGACATACAGTATGTGGATAGAGAACCTGCTGGTGCTGGCCTTCAGATGTACAGATTCTTGACTGGATAACTATACTGTATTTAGCATAATCTATACAGTACATACTTTGCAGTCTCATTATTCTCTAAACCAGTGTTGCAGTGCCACTTTTTGGTAAGTGCCGGAGCTGTCAAAATAATTCTGGTAGTAGTCTAATGTGCTTATCCTTTCGAGATATAAGTCACATATCTATAGCTCTTCTGCAAGGAAGTACTGTTTTTAAGTGTTTAGAAGTGCACCTGTTATCAAAAGTTCTGCTGGCTAGAACATAAGAAAATAAGGAGTTCGCACAGGCCGGTTGGCCTGTGCATGGCAGCTCCTGTCGAGAGTTACTACCACTCTCTATCATCCATGAATCTATCCAGCCTCCCTTTGAAACTTTCCAGCATTCCAGCACTTACTACAAAGTTGCTAAGCTTGTTCCACTCGTCCACCACCCTATTTGTAAACCAGTTCCTTCCTATCTCCCTCCTAAACCTAAACTTATCCAACTTGAATCCATTGTCCCGAGTCCTATCCTGCTCAGATATTATAAGAACTTTATCTATATCACCTTTATTGATTTCTTTCACCCACTTGAATACTTCTATCATATCTCCCTGCACTCTTTGTCTTTCTAGGGAATGCAAGTTTAGTTTCTTTAACCTATCCTGATATGGAAGGTTTCTAAGTCCTGGAATCATTTTCGTCATTCTTCGCTGCACCGACTCTAGTGAATTGATATCCATTCTATAATAGGGGCACCAGAACTGAACCGCATAATCGAGGTGCGGCCTAACTAGCGTAAGATATAGCTGCAATAAGACCTTGCACTCTTATTACTTACACTTCTAGATATAAACCCAATACTCTGTTTGCCTTATTTCGAACATTAACGCACTGTTTTCTAGGCCGTAGGTCCGGGCTTACAAGTACCCCTAGGTCTCTTTCACAAGTCGACTTCTCTAGGTTGATGTTAAGGCTGTATACATTGTCAGTATTTGTTCTTCCAATATTAAGTACGCTGCACTTGCTGGTGTTGAATTTCATTTGCCATTTTTCAGACCACCCCTGCAGTTTATTTAGATCCTCCTATAATGCATTTGCATCCTGCCCTGAATTAATCTGCCGCCCTATTTTGGTGTCATC